CTGAAGTCTACCAAACCTCTCCAATCGTGCTGCTCGTCCTCTGTCATAACAGGAGCTACATAGTCTAGAGCAGCTGCAACCGGCTGGGCTAGAGGTGCCCCCGGTGTCTGAAGTCCCTGCACGACCTGCTCAGGTGTGCGAGCGGCGGGAGTTTGAGTGCCTCCCCCGACCTGAGAAGTAGCTGCAGCCGTAGCAACTGAGACCGCCTGAGCCAGGCCAGTGCACACTGATAGAATCTGGGCCAGGGCCTCCTGAAGGCCTGGGATAACAATAGGCACAGCCGGTGCCTGAGCTGGTACTGCTGGAGCGTCCACAATTGGGACCTGATCCTGAACTGGGGCGGCTGGTGGATCTGCAGGTGCTGCCCTAGCTGTTGTTCGGGCTACATCCCTGCCCCTACCACGACCCCGACCACGTCCTCGGACTCTAGTGGCCCCAACTGGTGGTCGTCCGTCCTGACCGGTAGCACGTGTCCTCACCATCTGTGAGAGAATAGAATAATAGAAGTTAGTTACCAGAATTAACAGATTTGCACGACAGGAATTCAAGAATATGAAGTTTTTCCTAAAGGTTTTGCAGCCTCCCGAGGATAAGTACAAACGTCTCCGTACCGATCTGTGAGATTCTACTAAACCCGCTCATGACTCGTGAGACCTATGTAACCTAGGCTCTGATACCAACTTGTCACGACCCTAAAACTGACCCGGTCGTAATGGCGCCTATCGTGAAACTAGGCCAGCCGACACAAACTCAAATACAACCAGAATCCCATAAAAGTCATTTTAAGCCATTAATTAACAAAATATCTCATAATATGAGTTTAAATAACCAGTGCAGAAGAAAATAACACAAGCCTGACATTGGGGTGTCACCAGTCATGAGCAACTACTAAATCTATCTAAGTACAAGAAAGTCTAACAAAGTCTAGAAGACAATACTAATATATAATCCAAGGAAGATATGAGGGAGAAGAACAGGGCTGCGAACGCCATGCAGCTACCTTGTCGATTCCAAGACCCGCAGAGAGAAACGATCAATGCTCGCTATCAAGACCCGCAACTCCTGGATCTGCACACAAGGTGCAGGGAGTAATGTGAGTACGCCAACTCAGTAAGTAATAAAATTAAAAGCAGTTGAGCAGTAAGAAATAAAATAATTCACGTCACAACACTACAACAAAACAATATATTTCCAAAACAGTACAGAAATCCATTAACTCGTAAAAACGACTCAGTTTCAGTAAAACCCTTTTTCTTTTAAAAACATCTTTCAATAGTTCAAAACAAATGGTGAAACAGTGAGTAAAATAATAGGACCGTAAACAGCCCCTCGGGCGAGACATGTACCATAAACCGCCCCTCGGGCACAATATCAACAGAACCAGCCCCTCGGGCTACCTTACAATCACTCATAATCAGCCCCTCTGGCAACAACATAATCAAGATCAGCCCCTCGGGCAACATCACATCACACACATTGGGTACCCGCGCTCATTGGGGGTGTTCAGACTCCTGAAGGGCTCCTACAGCCCAAGCGCTATCACAAGCCATCTCGTGGCATAATAAATCAGGCCCTCGGCCTCTCATATATTACAAATCAGAACAATTGCTGCGGTGCGCAGCCCGATCCCATGGTATCCTCACAACACAGGCCCTTGGCCATAATCATTCAGAAATCTCTCAAGCCACTCGGGCTAACACTAAAACAGGTGCTCGGCCCAAAATATCATTTATAGAATCAAAACGGAGTAAATAGAAGCGAGTTATGAAATCAGTAAAACATAGCATGACTAAGTTTAGATATTAAACCAAAACCAGTGAGGAAACAGTTGTAAAAAGCCCCTAAGGGTCCAAACAGTTGGCACGAGGCCCAAACACGGCATTCAGCCCCAAGCATAGTAACACTTTCCAAAACACAATAGTATCAAATAGTTTTTAATCAAATACGTGACTTAATAGTCGTACGGGACGGACCAAGTCACAATCCCCAATGGTGCACGACCCCACGCTCGTCATCTAGCGTGTGTGTCACCTCAAAGTAGTGGAACGATGTGAAATCCGGGGTTTCATACCCTCAGGATAATATTTACAATCATTACTTACCTCAAACCGGTCCAAACTCTAGCCCGCGATGCCTTTGCCTCTCGAGTCGGCCTCCGTAAGCTCCAAATCTAACCAAAACCAGATTCATGTCGTCAATATAAGATAAAGGAACAAAGCCCACGCGAAAATTAATCAAATTACATCAAAAATCCCGAAATTGGCCGAACCCGACCCCCGGGACCACGTCTCGGAATTTGATAAAAATCACATCACTAGAATCCTTATCCTCCCACGAGTCTATACATACCAAGAACATCAAAATCGGACCTCAAATGGCCCCTCAAATCCCCAATGAAAACTCTCCAATTTCAAGCCCTAATTATCCAATTTTAACTCTTAAATTCCAATAATTTCATGCCTAATTAGTTAGAAATCACCATAGAATCGAGTATTGAGTTCAAAAATCTTACCTCCAAGCGTTACCCCTTGAATCCCTCATTAAATCCTCTCAACAAGCTCCACGCCCGTCTCAAAAATGGTGAAACAAGGCTGAAAATCGCGAAGGGGAGCTTATATAGTTTCTGACCCAGGGATTCCGTATTTGCGGTCCCTTAAGCGCACCAGCGCTACCGCTTCTGCGGAAATTCCCCGCTTCTGCGGTTTTCACTTAAGGGAGCCAACTTCTGCACCTGCGCCCCAAGCCTCGCACCTGTGGGCCCGCAGGTGCGGTTAACCATCCGCTCCTGCGACTAAATCCGCTCCTGCAGTCAGCTCCACGCACCTGTGATCATCACACTTGCGGTCCCCAATCCGCAGGTGCAGAAACAACAGAAGCAAAAAATTCTGCAGCTCTACTCAAATTCCAAATCTTCCGCCAACCATCCAAATCCATCCCGAGGTGTTCGGGACCTCAACCAAACATGCCTCACATATCACCATTCAAACTCATACCAACCCTCGAAACTCTCAAAACAACGCCGAAACACCAAAATCACCCTAAGATTCAAGCCTAAGGATTCCAAAACTTCCGAATTTCGCAAACGATCAAAAAGCCTATCAAACCTCATCCGAATGACCTTAAATTTTGCACACACGTCCCAAATGACACAACGGACCTACACCAATTCCCGAAATTCCAATCCAACCCTGATATCAAGATTTCCACTACCAATTGGAAAACGCCAAAATTCCAATTATCCAATTCAAGCCTAAATCTACCACGAACCTCCAAATTACATTCTGATCGCGCTCCTAAGTCCCAAATCACCTAACGAAGCTATCCGAACCATAAAAACCAAGTTCCGAGATCATTTACTCACAAGTCAACTTTCGGTTGACTTTTCCAACTAAATGGCTAACTGAAGAGACTAAGTGTCTCATATCACTCCAAAACTACTCCAAACACGAACAAACCAACACGATACGATAAAATACAGCTGAACAACACATAAAGAAGCAGAAAAGGGGGAAACAGAGCGGTAACTCATGAAACGAACGGCCGGGTCGTTACAACAATTCCCTATGAGCATAAGTTCGTTCCTTAGGAATAAAATTAGTCTCTCATAATCAATCTCTACTCTGGAATTTTCCCAATGTTGAACAATTTGTGAAATATACGTTTGAATCCTTTAGACGCGTCTAAATTTTTTTACCATTGTTATGTACACGTTCGCGTGACACGATTGCAATTAATCAAACCATGAAATTTCGCAGCTTTTCTTTAGGCACGATGAATAAATCATTACTACTATAGGTACAGTTCCTGTGGCATAGTCGTAATACCTAAAACCAAATTCGGGTGTGCATTGCATGTGACCCGACCATAACTTCAAACAATAATAAAATAAACATGTTGTAGATCGTGGGTACGGTTCCCGTGACACGATTCGCAATGTGTACAAAAACAAACGAGTGTGCGACATCGTGACTTGTTCAAACAAATTCTATAAATAATTAAAAGAGGTTTAAAAAGTTAAAAATGCACAACAGGTTTAAAACTTGTAATAAGCCAGATAATAAGGCCAATTATTAATAGTTGAGCGACCGTGCTAAAACCACGGAACTCAGGAGTGCCTCACACCTTCTCCCGAGTTAACAGAATTCCTAACCCGGTCTTCTGTGTTCCCGGACCAACAAATAGAGTCAATTTTCTCGATTTGGGATTTAAAATAAATCGGTGACTTGGGACACCATAATAATTATCCCAAGTGGCGACTCTGAATCAATAAACAATCTCATTTCGATTTATGTCACTTTATTTGAAAAAATCCCCTATCCCCCTCGGGAAAAAAGGAGGTGTGACAACTATTGAGAGGGAACCCGAGCGAACCATATGAAAAGCTGTCAAGCTACTTTTATATGCTAGTTCTTACAGATCCTATGTCGGTGGTAAGTTTGAAAAAAACAGAGGAAGACCTGTTCATGTATGCTTTCGTTGCACTATATTCGCCTATAAAAGGATGGTAGTATTGCAAATTGGTTATTGTTGTAGATGGAACCTTTCTTAAATCGACATACAGAGGAACATTATTGATAGGATCCATACAATATCTGGCAGGTAAGAATAAGAATAATAATGTAAATATACATGAATAACATATATATATATATATATATATATATATATATATATATATATATATATATTTTCCAACCTTATATNACATACTTACATATATATATATAATTCAATTTATTAGGTAGTATCCTACCACTCGCATATGCCATAGTAGATTCAGAGAATAATGCTTCCTGAAAGTGATTTTTCGCGAGGTTCAAGGATGCATTTGGGGAAAGAGAGGGAATGTGCATAGTCTCGGACATGCATGAAGGCATTGAAAATGCAGCGGCAACATTGTATCCACAAGTACCTCACTGTGTCTGCATATGGCATCTATGAAATAATGTAAAAAAAATTACAACAAGAACCATTTGCAACTCAAAGACATATTCTTTGCTATGGACAAAGCATACACAGTTGAGAAGTATCATTACCACATGGCAGAGGTAGAGAGAATTGATAAGAGGGTCAAAGATCACTTAATCGACATTGGGTATGAAAGATGGTTCAAAGCACATTCCACTGTCAACAGAATGTTGACAATGACTTCAAACATTACGGAGTCAATCAATGCAGCGCTCAAGGCTGCTAGGGAACTCCCATTAATGCCTTTGCTAGAGTACATAAGGCAACTGATCGGACGATGGAACGTTACAAACCAAAAGAATGCAATAGAGTCGTTTACTGACCTTGGGAAAAAATATGATACAATGTTGATGGACATTCTCGAATTGTCACATCGGATGGAGGTATGACTAGTATTTGTAGATACTTGTGCATATAATATGTAATCATGTCGAATTCATGGATCTGTTATATCTTGAACCCTTTATGTGATTCTGTTAAACTAGTGTCCACCTGCACGGCACATGGAGATCAAATTGATTAAAGCTAACGTTTCTAATATTCATTGTTTGCACAAAAGCAATATTATAGTGTTCAAGCAATGGAGGGTCTTATCTCTGTTATCCGGGGCTTCAGGTTTTCTGTTTCTTTTCAAAGCTAGTTGGTCTAACTCTATTCTCTATTTCTTCGAGGGCATGCGAGAAGTTAGTCGTTATGTAAGCAAATTTTTTAACTTTTAGGCGACTACCAACATGTATATAAGGCTTTCAATTTAATGTAACATTTATGCCTACCCCACTGCTGAAATATTGGTGGTTTAACATGATATTAAGCTATTTTGAATCTTAGGCTCTCCAATATATGTATTTTAAGGGCATCTGCTTTGTCACCACTAATGATAATTGATAAATTTTGTAGGTTACCCCTTCGACGAGTTACTTATATTCGGTACTTGACAAGGGTAAGTAGAGAATGGTGTTCCTAAAAGATCGAACTTGCAGCTGTTGAAGGTTTCAGTTGGATGAACTGCCATATGCTTGGGCAGTATTAAAATACAATTACATTGATCACATTGAGTATTGCTCGGTGTACTACACCTGGAAGTACCTATTAAAGACCTATGAAATTCCAATTTATCCAGTTCTTGATGAAAGCACATGGAAAATTCCTGCAAAAGTTCTAAATGAAAAAGTCTTGCCACCAGATGTGACTAAATCAATAGGAAGTCCAAGGAAGGGGAGGTGCAAGCCAATATCTGAAAGGGAACGAAAAAGGTCGATCTCATGTGGACAGTATTGAAAAGAAGGTCACAACAGGAAAACTTGTAGAAATAATCCAAAGAGAGGATGAAATATGTCAAACTTAGAATTACTTGTTATTTTACTTTACCGAATATCATAGAGATTTAGAAGAATCAAATACATCAAGAATTGTATCAATGCGGAATGTCATTTGAATTTTAGATATAAATAAATATTTGATCTATCATTTAAAATCGTGTTGCAAGTGTGTTTTTAAATTATACATCTGTTTGATTAAAAATAAGTCATATCAGTTATGTATCATATTTGTATCTCTTGTGTATCACCTATGTATCTCTGTGTATCAGTAAATTATACATCTGTTTGATTAAAAAGAAGTTGTATCAGCTATGTATCATATTTGTATCATCTATGTATCTCTTATGTATCACCTATGTATCTTTGTGTATCGTCTCTTACTCATGTCTGTATTTGTGTAATAACAAAGCTAACTAATGGAAAACAGCCGTAGCAGCTAGAATACGTTGCAAATAGTTGTAGAAATTTGCACATAAGAGTGTGGATTCATCAATACATATTTCGAAACCAAACAAACTGCAGAACTCATTGTGAAGAAACTAACTGTGCAGCAATCCAAAACGACCGTATCATCTATGTATCATGCGTGTATCGTGTGTGTATCATGTGTGTATCTGGAAGAGACAGTGTATGACAAACTACCGTATATTTTTCATATCTTGAATTCACAACACAAAATCAAGGGATAAAATACCTAAATAAACTAAACTGCATCACTCCAATATTGCAGTAAAACTCATTAAACCTTTATAACAGAGCAGACATCTCATTTGCCGTACAAATCTTAAAAATATTCATAAAATTCAAATACAAATAAATCTTATCCGTCTTACAACAATGATAACCTAACAGAACACAATACAAAACGAAATTATTGAGTTCATCCTACAACAATGACAAAAGTAACTACTTCTTCCGCTTCTGCGACTTATTCTGTCGACCAATAATCTCATCATCACTTTGCGCGTTCAGTTCCATCTTCTTTCTAGCATAATCCCAGAAAAAAGCACCAAATTTGTGCCGGTGTGCATAGGCGTTGTATTTTTTTAGAAGGAGTCTTGCCCTTAATGAAATACTCGGCAAATGATGCCGCAAATACACCGCAATCACTACAAAAATAAAAAGAACAACAATTATCAAACTGCAGAATCTAAAAACAAAACAGATTGTGTTGAAAGAAATTCATACGCTTCGACTTGTTGAGGCAGTCCTTCAACCAGTTTTACATCAAAAAGGGTAATCAAGTCCTTAGATTTGTAGACACCAGTGCGCCAATTGATATCATTTTTATTTAAATAGAAATGCGTGTGCACGAAAAAAAAGTGAGGCAGCAACACAGAATACTTGCGCATTGTGTTATGAACTTTGTCTTGATGAGCAGCTCCACCGCGCATAGAGTCATACACATAAATGCACCTATCCTTGAAGGACATCACAACCATTATCCAATTCCATTGTTACGCAAAATTAATTGGCATTAAGACATGCTCGACGGTGTGCCATGAAACATTGGCATCCAAGAAATACCCCTGAATATACTTTCCAATGACATGTTTCGGATTGCACACTTCACTATCTCCATTTGTATCAATAAACGTCTGCCACAACTCACTAATTTTCTCGTCGAAGTACCAATCTATGGTGGTGAATGTTACAGGTGGGTCTTTGTCATACTTCCCCTTGTTTCTCAAAAAATAGAACAAAATATCAATGTGCTGAAATAAAACATAACAAATAATTAATCACTGAAGGCTCGTAAGCTTTAAGCAGCTACGCTTTTTCAAACAAAATTCACAGAGAACAAAGAAAAATAAATGCTCACTACTTCTCTTGTGCCATGCAAGATAGCAGTTAATAATCTGTTCTAACTTAAGAGGCCTGATCACGTGTACACTGGCTAAAATTTAAAATAAAAAAATTGTAAAAGTAACTTCTTACACACCGAGTCATCCAAAGGCTGACCATTATATGCCAAAGTGTAAAATTATTTTGTCTTCAACATGATATACACCAAGATCATAAGCAGGATTGAGTTCACTAACATGGTTCAGGTAAATTTCATTCCTGGTAACAGATATACACAAAAGAGATACAGTGATTTGATATAAAATAATGCTATAAGTGACAATATATTAAAATATAAAACTGAACAAAACACAGAAGTTGGAAACATACTTCTTTCTGGACTTCCCTTCTTTGACCCACGCAGCAAATACATTCAACAAAGAGCTATTAATGCTAGTTCCTATTTTGCTTTGAAAAGGATGCTCAACAACATAATATTTTCTTTTCTTTCGCTGCAACAACACCAGTACTGGATCCTGAATCAAATACAGTAATGAACGGAGACTGCACGGCCTTTGTAGGACATCTCTTTCTTTTGTTGATTTGCGGCGAAACTTCAGGAAGTAATTCAGGCTGGTACAGAACAATCTGAGATTCAGAAACCTCTTTCTCAAATTGTTCCTTCATCTCCCCTGCCGCCTCATCAACACTTGCAGTCACACAAACAACGTTAGTTTGAGATTCAAGAACCTTTTCTTTCTCAGATTCTTCCTCCATCTCCCCTGCCGCCTCATCTGCACTCTCACCAATAGCGCCACCATACGCTACATCTGGTGTGAAAGTCACTTTTGCAATGAACATGTTAACCTTCACACCAGAAGGTTCTTCCATGATATTGACACCTAAACTATTTGCTGCATCGAGCCCAATATTGTTACGATGATGCGCACTGGTATCTCCTTGAGAATATGGAACATCTTTACCTTCACTTCCACCGACCTATTTTTTTTAAAAATGAATTGAATTATCAAAAACAACAAAGAAAAGAAAAAGGAAAAGTGCAGAATGCACAACTAAACACACCTTAAAACCATCCTTTTCAACATCTTCATTGCCACCAAACTCTATATTGCTCATAAAATCATTATTGTCTTGACGACCACTGGTGTCTTCCTCTGGATGTGCACCATATTTGTCTTCGCTTGCACCAAGCTATTTATAATAAAAAAATGATATAGTAAGTTAACTAAAAAATAAAAGGAAATGCATAATGGAAAATAAACACATACCTTGGAATTTATCAACTCAAATAATTACTGGAATTTATCAGAAATATATTCCATGAAGGACTTTAACTGCTTATGGAGATACAAAAGGAAACAAATAGGAAAAATAATATACTTTGAATATACTTTTTTAACTAAAATTTCAAAAAAATAAATATAAAAAACCAATACAAACCTGTTTAACATCAGCTTTCAACTTCTGTAACTCACGGTCATAATCAACAGGTTGGACACCCGACGCCTTTTTTGGTGGGACAGGCTCCTTAATCTATTTCGGGGGTGGCGTGACAAAATCATCGTTGTCACGACCCCAAAACCGACCCAGACGTGATGGCGCCTATCGTGAAACTAGGCCAGCCGACACATTTCCAAAATAGTTCAACATTTAATTTAAAGCTTAAATAATACCATTTTCAACTGAAATTCCATAAAAGATATAAAGTCAAAACCAAAATAAGACGCCGGACCTCGGGTGTCACTAAGTCGTGAGCAATACTACATTTGTTCCGAAACACAGCTAGACCAAAATAGTCTGAAATATCCAAAATATACTAGGAGGAAGATAAAAAAGGAGAAAGGCGGAACTGCGATCGCCAGGCAGCTACCTCACTATCTCCGGTGATAATCCGCGACTGGAATAGTCAATAGCCGCTACCATGCCCTGAGATACCTGGATCTGCACACAAGGTGCAGAGGGTAACGTGAGTACACCAACTCAGTAAGTAACAAGTCCAAACAATGGACTGATAGGTAGTAACGAACTAAACCTCAGCAATTATAACACATTTAAATTGTATAGGAAAGTAGGCGTGCTAGCAATTCAATATTTTTAACTTGACAGTAAAGAAAAGTGCTAATCCGAACAATGTGAAGTATAAAGCTCAGTAAAACTCTACATGTCAATGCAAGGGATGTATGAAAATACATCGTGTGCTCCCACTCTCAAGTGCTCAACCACTCGGTACCGTATATGGCCATCCGGCCCAGTGAAATCCATCCCGGAATATATATACAACACTGACCTCAAGTCAACCGGTACCGAGGAACAAGGGTAATCCAACCCTGAGGAGAAATCCATCTCCAGGTACCAGTACTTCGGACAAATCCATGTTCAGGGAAATCCCTCAATAGTATCATCCGCACTCACTGGGATGTATAGACTCCGGAGGGGCTCCTTTCAGCCCAAGCGCTATAACAAGCCAATGAAGGCATAATCAATAATCTGCTGCGGCGTGCAGCCCGATCCCATAACTGCCACTCAAATTCAGGCTCTCGGCCTCACTCAGTCATAACTCTCCAGTCTCACACACACGGGCTCACAATACCGAGAAACTAGCCTGAAACAATGATAAGGTGTGCCAAATAACAATAACCGAGACTGAGACATGATATAATATACATGAACAAGATTGAGTACAGAATATCAATGAAGCTAATGATATGACAGGAAGAAACGACCTCTTGGGTCTCAACCGTATCGGCGTGAAGCCTTAACATGATAACTAGCATGATTTACAGCTCATTAATTTAATTACATAATCACTACACAGGTATCAGCAAGAAAGAGTCACTAAGCGGTGCCATGGAATGATCCAGGCAGCAATTCTCACGGTGCACGCCCACACGCCCGTCACTTGGCATTTGCGTCACCTCAATATTTAATCATAGAACACATAATTCGGGGTTTCGAACCCTCAGAACCAAGTTTGGAAGCGTTACTTACCTCAAACCAAGCTAAAGCTCTAACCCGCGATGCTCTTGCCTCTCGATCCGGCCTCCAAATGCTTCGAATCTAACCAAAATCAGTATATTATCATCCATATACACTAAAGGAATGAATTCCACACGAAAATAATCAAATTAGACCAAAAATTCTGAATTGGACTCA